ATACCTTCCTTATCTCCCTGTTCTCAATAGCTATAAATACGTCAGACCCCTACGAAAATAGGCCACCACCAAGTTAGCAGCCTCGTATTTACATATGTATATTAGAATATTAAATTTTAGATACATGAAGAATAAATTAGTTAAATTAATGCAAACTCTATCAGACTAGTGATAGGTGTCACAGAAACACAATGAAATGAACCACAAATTTCGGACTACAATCGCATTTCATAAATTAAATTCTGATACGTGATTATAAATGTGAAACTAATGTGTGCAGTTTGAGCACTGTAAATGTTTGAGCTGCGACGTCATTTTGTCTTGCAGGTGGTCAAATGCCCCAATCTTTCATGCTCAGCTATCCCATGGCCTTACACTGTTCATTTGAATATCTATATATGTATAACTTAGCATTAATCCTCGCTGTGGTAATTTAAATATATTGAAATTATTCGTCCCCGCTCTCCGGTCCTCACGATAGATACAAATGTGTGTTTTGGAATTAACCTGTGTTTCAGCAGTCAAATTGGCCTCATCCTTTCACAAATAGCACAACCAACGCCACTTATAAACAACATACAGGCATTAATGAAATATTCTGATTTACATAATCAGAGACAAAATGTGCATATATTCAATCATTATCCAAATAGCTTTAAGGCAATTTCTGATGATATCACATGTTTACCAGTTCATATTTCATTCGACGAGAATACGTCACATAGTACACTATTGCATAAGTGTTTTAAAATCTGTTGTATAAATAGAATTTATTATTGGAACAACTCTTTTTACTACTAAATATCTAGACTAAAAAAGCCCTAGGTGTACTCAGAAACTGCGTGGTTTCAAAGTATGGAATTTGTCATTCAGGACCTAATCCCTAATATTTTAAACTTTCATTTATTTCATGGGCCAGATAAGCAATTCACATGATTCAAATTTTTCCGTACAGATACGATACATTAAATACAGCGACAAATTTATTTTATACTCACCGATGTCCCAAGCATGTGTCACGAGATGCAGTGAGGCCCAGTTTGCTGTTAGAGGAAACCTCAAAGAAACCTTCTTTCAGTTCACTCTATATGCAACATTTACCACGCACAAAATCAGTTTATAAACCCATTCTCACTACACACACTACACACTTTTGAAACACAATACTCTTACCTACAGTCGAAGACACTTCGTTATTAATTTCCTTGTCCAAATGCCATTTCCTTCAGCAACGCCCTGATAACTAAACCAACGCCATCTGTCGTGGGAATAAACAGCACAAAATATACCTCGTACTGTCCACCGGCCACGAGAATATCCCTGCGGGTATAAGTCGGTTCTTGTGCGGTGCAAGGGGAATGTTTACAATCAGGTCTGCTAGAGGGCTGCTATTGGTGGGAAGTGTGACACGCCAGAGAGTTACACTGGTACAGACTGAAAACATTAAGCAGTTAAGAGTAGCATGTAGACAACAAATTTAAGCAACAGATCAAACATTAAAGTTACAGCGACGTTCAAATTGGGTAGGGTGGTACAATAACGATTATTGTTTTATTTTTAGGGTAATCATCTTTAAAAGACAATTATTTTTAAAAACAAATTATTGTATTAAAAATAGGAAGTATTATACAAAGGACCATGGTATCAGACTTATTCAGAAAGAAAAAATTGTATTCCAACAAAGCATTTAAATATAAAAAATAATCGAACTTGTTCCTCAAGTGATACAGTCCCGAACACAGAGATACAAGTTTTGTTCACATTTGGCTTCCTTAGCATCTGAAACAAATTCATTTAAAACGAAAATAAAACGTAGTTGCTGTCTTCAGAATTTTTACTAACTGCGTTCACCCACATATTTATTGAACTTCGAAAGGAAAACAATCTTCATAAGTATTCAAAATAGTTTCCTTAATAAAGAATTAATTAATTTTAAAAATCGAGGCATTTTGTCGAAAGTAATTAAATATTTTGTTGTTAAAATGTAAGAAAGGACACTGGCCCCAGTATAATGAAGAAATTTAAGTCACAAAATTGTTTATCGAAGTCCTACCTAAATCACTGTTTTAAATTTAGTTCAAAAAAGGTTTTATTGAAATAAAATGATTGTTTCACTATGGACCCGCAAATTTTACATGAATTTCAATGACCATTCCCAATTGCAGTTGGATATTAAAATTCACTTCCTAAGCATTTGTCAACCGACTTTATTGACCCATTTCGTATACAGCAAAGTAAATTGTTACACAAGCACTTACCTTGATGAGAAAAGGCTTCATAACACAAAATAGGCAGCATTATCAAGAGAAAACTGAAATATCACTGAATCATCATTGCCAATGACCGCATTTCGGCCAATATTTATGATAATACAATTCAGAATTTACGTTATTCTGTTCGAAATTGTACCTATTCTAAATCCTATCACATTAACCTTTTAAAAAACTTATCCCGCTTAGTCCCAATTTGTAACTCGACATTTAAGCTTTCGTTTACGAGGTAAATAGACAGTCATCTCGAATTTTCCACGAAAGGAAATTAAATACGACATTAGATCTAACTGCGGTCATGCAATTCCAATGAAAGTTTGAGCCTCACAGCTGCAAACTACAAACGTCAAGATTCGGTGATTCAAAGTTACTTTCTGAATTTTTAACAGAGGAAAATTTAATATAATTACCGACCGTATCAAATGACGAATAATGAATGCGTAATACATAATTCGTTTGATAAATAATTATTCATACACAAAAGTTAATCTGTAGAGATGTAAATCAGTCCGCATTCCGTTAAACCAGTCAGATAATTTCCTACTCAATAAAAAGTGTTTAAGCGCAAATCCTTCAGTAAATCCGCGTTAGACAAACTTGATATTGTGTGGGATTATTGGGAATATAAAAGTCAAAGTGAATAAACAAGAAAATCATAAATATTTTGTGCGATAATTATTTACAGATAACTATATTAAAGTATCACCTGAAAGTTAAACATTTAAGTGAAACTTCGACCGAACTTTAGGCCAACTGCTTCTGCTCTCATAGAACCGCTGACTGAAATAGTAACTTTTTTTCTCATTTATTGTCATAACATTACAAAGTTTTTCTGTTTCTTTACAATTTTTACATTTGCGTTTTGACTCCATAATTCTGACTAAGGGAAACTTCACAAACAGTAAAATACAGGAATAATATACGACAGCTGTCGAGACTGCAAGAGATACTGAGACCACGGATTATGTATTTTTGAGCCGTAGAGGGTGTGAAAGACGCAGGAGGAAGAAATCATGATATCACGGTTGAGCTGAATATTTACACTCTTACATATGCTGAATAAAACAAACCAAGTTGGTTATTCAAATACAGTAGCAAAGGAAAACCGTCTTTAGCACCACAGCAGTGGCATTTTTCTTATGCTACCACAGTGTGTGCGTGTAAAACCGCGTATAAACGAATTTTCCTCTTTCGACAAATAACTGTTCACATTTATTTTCACGCGCTTAATGTAATCCGAGTTTGAGGAGCGTTTAATGTAATTTATAACAAAGAATTAATGAGAAATCTTCGTTGGCCTTGGGTGGTATTCAACAAACGGAAACACGAACCCCACTGCCAGTAAAAGCAGTCGTGGATGGGGAACAGAAATTCTGTCACACAACACCACGCGATGAAAGCGTAAGGTGGCGTGGAGGTAAAGCTATGGAGTTGCCAATTTCATGTTCTTGCCACTGATTTCCTTGTTCCCACTCTTTCGGAAGGTGGATGGGCGACTCAGCTCGTTGAAATAATATTACGAAATTAACAATAAGCTAATTATAATAACAATTAATAAAGGGGTACAAAATGTGTTTACTTTTATCATTAAATTATTGCTTTTATAACAATAATTTTTTGAGGAATCAGCAAACGATATCTTAAATGACACAAGGAACAGAAACACAAAAATATAACACGTTGAATCGTACAATCTGACCTCAGAATTGAAGGTCTTTAATTTCTATATGCCGTATGTACATAAAAATGCCTCTTATGTTTAAGTTATTTTATTGAAACACATTTGCATTATTGTTATTATCATTAATGCTGCTCTGTTGTGAAGTACTAACTGCGCACAGTTGAATTCTTCCGTAGGTATAACAACAATAATAACAATTAAGTTTTTCACTTTATATTAAATAAGTCATTAAATTCCTTGTAATATTATCATTTTAAATTCTGTTTCCTTCAGACATTATGTATTCAAATATTTTTAGAATTTCCGTTTCATTTAACATTAATTGCGGCTCTGGTAAAAATATAAACTCTCAGGACCACTAATACGAAATGAAGACTGCCATTCTACACGATCAGTTACATCCATCTGTAATCGTCACAACAAATTTCCGCAAGAGCTACCTGATATTGTCTCCTACTTTCCTTTCGCGTCTTCAAAATGACCACTTAAAATTACTTACCTACTAAAATGCATTATACAGTGAGTTTTCTACACAGCGAAACCGCGAGGTGAACTTACGCGCTGTGGGTCGTCTGGTCGATGGGTCCCGGCTGAGCAGGTGCTCGGAAAAATGTCAGTGCACATTCAGGGTCTACTCCACCCTAGCTATGAACCCACTCCATAACAACATTTCACAGTTCACTGTCTTAAGAACAATATGTGACCTGTATAAATTACACCTTTAACTCGATTTATAACTTCCTACTTATGAACATTCGCTATAATCACCCATGGAAGTTCCTACTTCTTTTTCTTAAATTTACACACATTACGTTTGCTGCAACTAAGAACCAGCCTTCGTCCGAGGGAGAAAGTGCGCTTCGAAGAAATGAACGTGGAAACACAGTAACTGTTGTTTGACGTAAATGTTTTATTCAATAGTTCAATAGTGCCTTATACTGTTAAAGAGGTGATAACTATCAAACCAAAATATATATCGTGTTGTAACACAACTAACTAACTAGATGGCTTATGGAACACGAAGGTTCATCAACTAACTTACAAAAGCCCTCCACGGGATCCTGTCCTGGGCCAACAAAATCCAGTCGCCTTCAACATCTATCTCCCATAGAACCCATCTGATTTTATACTCCCATCTATGGTTAGGTCTTCTCAATGATCTCCTCCCCTCAGGCTTCCCGACCAGTACCCGGTGCACACATCTTCCATCCATGCAAGCCACATGCCCTGCCCATCTCACTCAGGCAATATTGGTGGTGAAGTACACATTTATAAGTTCATCATTATACATTTTTCTCCATACTCCATCCTCTTCTCTCCTAGGCACAAATATCCTCCTCAAAATTATTCTCAAACAGTTGCAATCCCTGATCCTCCCTCAGGGTGAGAGACCTTGTTTCGCACAAATACAAAACAACAGGCAAAATTATTGTTTCGTATATTTTAATCTTCAGGTTCGTTGTGTTGTAACATACAGTGGAAAAATATGGGGTGATTTTTCTGGGAGTCGGTTACCATCCAGAATTTTTAACATTGAAATAATGGAATTACATTTCAGATTTACAATACCAAATTTTACCTAGCGAACGGATTGCGTTCATAAATCTAAAGATGCGTGTATCAGTTTCCTCGAAATGCAGTGAACCTTTCTTAGTGTTCCTGGTTTCTTCACCCCGCTTGGGTCGAAATATCATCCTGAGAAATTTGTTTGAAACACTTGCACTCTCCTCAAAAGAAGATAAGCCAAAGTCATTTGAACTGATACAAGATAATCAAGTATGTACAGATTACTCCCGCTATAGTGGACAGTAAGGACGCGTTAATGGTGAAGAGGCCACAAATTTTGAACTTCACTTTTAAGTTGGACACCTGGCTGGAAAAAAGTTGCAACTGGACTGTGACGTCACTACTTAAATCCTTGCTGAGAAGCAACTTGTGGACAAGCAGTTGTGAGCTGTTGGCCTCTACACTCGCCATGTGACAGGACACAGTCAGAAAAATTAAGGCGACAGATGATAAAATCGCCATACACAGCGAAGCATACTCCTGGACATCGGTGGCGATTCCATCCTTCCCACTCAGCAACTTCAACATGAGGTCAATCACGAAATTGTAATTTAATATATGTTGAAAAAAGATAAGCGAAAAACAAATAAGAATTTGGAAACCGTACTTGGAATTAAGAAGCTGCGACAATTCGAACAAGTCTAAGTGATCTTCCCTTAATGCTTTTACGCGGTTTAGAAACAGAGTCTTACGGGATGTATCTGTGCTCCTAACAACGGCCTCCGATGGCTGATACGACACTCGACAATTAGAACTGTACTCTAAAATTAGCGTCTCTCTCACATCTTGAAGCACAACGGTCCTTACTGTGGGACCCGTTAAGTCGTTGAGCATCGCTATCTGACAGTTCAGTTCTTTGTGTCTGTACCTGTAACACTGTACCAAAAGAACGAACTTCACATTAATAACAAATATAGTAAATGCGCACCATTCTTCACAAATGATGAGCCATGGTAACCAATGAGTACTCCACACGAAGACATTAACACAGCTCAAGATAAAGAAGAAAATTAAAAGCAACGACAAAGTCACCTGAATTACAGGAGAAATCACGTTTTGGGCAATGAATTCATTACGATATTTGAAAAAACGTTCATTTAACAAAGTAAATTTCTTCAAAATAAGTGAAATGTTCCGCTGGTGATTGATTGAGCGGATAATTATAAGTATGACACATCCAATGTATTCTATTGATGTGTTGAGAAAATCGGTAACTAACAAATTGTGGTGGACAACTTGTGATTCTACTTGAAACGTGAATAATATTCTATAAACATAACAACACATTAACACTATGGCAAGCAAATATGGCCAAAGTAGTTTCCAAAACTTATTTCCTGTTTTATGGTCGTAATTTTTTATATCACTGATGGAGTAAGAAGCAATACCAAGCAGTCTGCATAGATAATTCACTGGCTTCATCATAAAACACAGATAATCTTGATCCATATTATTATTATTATATTTAAATTGGACGAACACTTCGACTAGTCACTAAAGAAACCAAAATCTTTGTCAGTTATTTCACAAGACACTCAATGTTCAACAAGTAGAAGGAAACAATTTGCCATCAAAAGATGTCAAGAAGTAGATACAACCGTTTTGTACATTACCGCCTTAAATATCAAGAAAACCTGTGTTCACGCTAATATTTTTTTGTAATTCTGATACATTATTTTGTTTCATTAAAATGTATTATACTCTTCAGCAAGTTCGCTGGGCCTACTGTAACCAGAAGAACAGATACCGTAAGAAACCTCACGGGAGTAAGGGCAAATTAATACTACGCATGCGTACTGATGAGTCAGTGACGTCACTCATGCAATTAATTAGAATACGCCCAGTACATCTGGTTTCAGAATCTAAATGGGAGTAGTTAAATTTGTTTAATTGATCTATAAGGAGAATGCAAAACTTACAAGACACCTGAACACTGTTCGCTGTTGTTTCCGATGCAAAATCTATAGTTTCAATAAAGAATTTCAATTTACAGAAAATAATAGAAATGTATCTTGTTCTTGATCAATAAAGAAATGTTTCTGTGTTTCCATTTAGAGACGGTACAGTGCTATAATGTTGTGGAATCGATACAGAGGAAATGAAAATTACTAGCAACCACTTGTATTTGCAAAATATTTCATTAATGTAATAACGAATACCGACAACAAAATTGAATAACAAAACGCAACTGTTTGCTTTTCACTTTCATGTTTCGTTATTTTTTAGGAGTATGACTAGGGTAGTATAATGGAAGTAGCGGTTAACTTAGGTGACTGATCTACGTTCACAACCGCACTGCTTTTAATCGCAAAAGAAAATTTACCTTTTGATAGCCAATACCTCACATGCCAACTGGTTCAAAAGTAATTTGGACAGAGAGAAGCACGTGCAATTTTAAATTCCGCGACGTACATCATAATTCTATAATAAATTATAAACTAACAACAATTATTCTTAGTAATGAATTTGCGTGCATAATTCCTTCTAATACAAACAAAAATTTGGACAGAGAGAAACGATAACTTCTGGGAAGAACATGTAGCACGTGACATTTTAAATTCCGCGACGTACATCATAATTCTATAATAAATTATAAACTAACAACAATTATTCTTAGTAATGAATTTGCGTGCATAATTCCCGTTAATACAAACAGTAATGTAACGAATGCATTCTTATAACCTCGAACACTCGAATTTTCACAATATTCTTAATTGCTAACCTAAAACAATGGATAATAAACCTTCTAAAATTTAGTTCATAGTCAAGCTCATAAAAACTGTTACGTGTTACATCAGATATCAATGACAAATAGAACGACAGATGCGTACATACCCCAAAAGCCATCAGGTTAATTGACAATCTGAAGTTAATAACTTTATCAAAATAATGCATGTTATGTTAAGATTTACCACAGTACCGCTCTATACAGGAGATAATACGTATAGCAAAATAGCTATCACATTAACGATAATCTTTGCACAAAACAGCGTTGATTGAAATATAATTATTCCTTGCCTACCAATAATCACAAATGTCAAAATTATTATTCTCTTTATGCAGTTTGTGACTTAAATAACGTGCGTGTATGTACGTATGTAGTGAATGAGTTTTTGTGACATTAATATCCAAGAAAGCCGGAAACTGACAAATATAAGACAACTTAAGTTTAGCTGTATCAGGATTATAGTGTAAGTACATGCAATACCAAAAACAATGGAGAGGAAATGGCAAGTCTACAGAGAAGAATCCACAAGTTGTGAATCTCACGTGCATTGCCTTCAGCTGAGCAGAAAATTTAATTAGTTCTTTTACAACTCCGACCCTAATTAATATATGAATAAGAACCGAATATTTTCTGGCTTCTTCTACTGCCAGGTAACCGGAAACTGTCACAGAAAGCAATGGAATGAAAGAGAAAAATCCCCAACTTTTGTAAGTTATGATTACATAATAATGTTTGACGTCCCTCTGATTAATAATTAAACCATGTAAAATATACAGAGCAGCGAATATCCACACAATTGAAACAAGTAGCGAATCTTCAGAAGTTGAATTCAAGAGGTTAACGTTGACATATAAACCCTTCTCCGAGCGTGTACTTCAAAAATATGACGTAAATGTGATTCGTCGGTGACGTTGCAAGCTGGAAAACGGAACCCTTCAGATTAATTCTTAATTTGTTTATGTAGAAGACGCCAGATCGATTAGTGGCTACTGTGATCTCTCGTTCTTTTAAATCACAAGAGAATTAATTTAGCCACTCGTTAAGATGCCTGCATCTCTCTCGCAGTTATATAACTTAGCTGACATACTGTGCAATCACCAATTAATTTGAAAGCATACATACGTTTTATGTTTAGGAGTATATATTTCAGCGTTAAAGACGAAAATTTTAAGACAAAACAAGTAAGCGTGTATTATAAACAGTGTTACCAATTCTTTTATATGAAATATTAAATTTATCTTGTACAGGCAAATTCTTTCTTCTGGCGTGAAGGATATGGCATCAATTTTTATAAAGTTATTGAACGGCTGAGTTACTTTCTTTCTGTTGAGTGTTACTCCAGACATTAAAACAATTCTGTTTAAGTAGTAATGAGTTTACTCAAGTAATAATAACAATGTTTATATTAAGACTTAAAATGTCAATCCAATAACAAAATTAAATATCGGCCTTAAAATAATACGTCAGTCAGTAATAGTGAATTAAAACGTTAATTTGTTTTGAAACCAGCACTTAATTTAACTACGGTAATTCAACTGCGTAACTTCAATATTCTCAATTGGTATGACTGCAAACCGTTGATTGGAAATTGTGTGTTTGGAAGGAGAAGATGTCTAGTTTTTAAAGTACTATCCCAGAATTCGTCTTAAAGTCCCGAGGAAAATTATTAAACAGCTGAGTCACTGTAGCCAGTAAACTGTCCAATCGATATTCAAGCCACGTTCACCCAGACAATGTAAACAAGAACGAAATACAAGTTTGATGCGGCCTAAGTTTGAACTACGCTGAACGTGAACGTTGTGCGGTTTCACTTTGTTGTAAATTATGCAATAGAAATGCCAACTTTTGAAGAAGTTCCTCTTCATTTTCCATGAGTGTGCGGTTGGTAACATGTTGCTGCAAGACAGCATCGTACGAACAATAATCGATGAACGCGGAGACTTCCAGTTACATCCAAAATAAGTTAAATACTCCCCTAATGCTCACCACGTCATGCCGAAGTTCAGAGGAGTGAAGTTGTATCTCCACGCATTCTTATCCTCGGCACAAGATGAGGCAAGAGGTTGACTTCACGCCCCAGCCGTTTTGACCACGAAGAAATAAAATCAGTAGTCACTGGACTGAGTGGGCCCCAAAGCCTTGGACCTTGTGAACAAGTGAAATCCTTCCCTGCCGAGAGTCAATCCCGTTCGTAAAGAAAGTGGATAGCCTATCCCAGAGTGAAAATCATTCTGATGGGATTTTATTTTAGACCTGAGAAGAAACTTTGCCTGTTTAATATCGAAACTCTGTTTCCAACCTTAAACCGCTTCTTATTGTCAGTAGAAGTAAAACGAAGTAATTTCAGAATAGTTTCGTATCTCAATACGAACCACTCACGTTCTGTAATTATTCAGTTATGGTATAATGTACAGGGCGTTCCGTTTAAAACGCAAAACTAACTACTACACATGAGCCCCTTCACGTTACAAAACGACGAAACCAATGGCAATATTTAATTTAGGTGATAAGGCAATAAGCATCAGTTTCAAACCGAGAGAGTCTTCATTCTGAAGATGCAGGAGACAACATTTCCAGAATTCGACTGCGTAATCGGTGACGGGAAGACGAGAATCTTATAAAATTTATACGTGTTTTATTGATGGAACTAGTTGATTATATATGGGGAGGGGGGAGGAGGGAGGAGGGACTTGGAGACCACAGAAGTCCTGTCCATTGCGCTGAGAAAGAAATATCGTGTGAGGGGGATTTAAGATTTAGTCCCGGTCTGCAGTTCGCAGCAACAAATCGAAATAAAAGGAGCAGCACAGTCAAAGGCTTACGGGAGTATTACAACGCTGAGCACCACAACATTTATCAGTTTCAGGAACGTTATTTTTCACGGTGTTCTTTTCTCACTCACGTGCACCTCTCTATTCTATTTCTCTTTATCCTTGCTTCATTCCTATTCATTCTTACGGCTGAGAAAATGAAGATGTTCGAACGTTTTCTTCATCAGTACAGATATGCACAAAAGGTTATCAACTATTTACCGAATTTAAGAATATGTGTAGAAAAATTAGGATTGGCAGAAAGGACAGCCAAATTATATTGAGTAAAGATGGCAGCAAAACGTGAAATGTAAGTAGTTAGTGGATTTAACATATGATATAGTACTAAAGAAAGCGCTGTAGTGCTTGTAAGGTAACTAAGGTTGTAAAAATTAAAATGTAATTGCAAATTAGATGTTTTATGAAATGGTTATTGACTTACTGTAAAGCTATCTTACACAGGCAACTAACGACGTTAATGGTTTCAGCTATTAATGTTACTCATTTACACATGCAGAGAAGAGAGACCTCATTTATGACTTTAAAAATCGAAAAATATACCTTCCCAACTTAAGCATAATTCAAGAATTCGCCTGGAGATGCTGATACGATAGCCAGAAACTCGATAGACATTAGAACCCGGTATATCCCGAAATTTACAGCTACGTTAATTTACCCGGTCAGTGTATCCGAATGAAACTGGGATGCTCCGTGGTTCTT